TCATGTTGTTGCAAATGGTAAGATTTTATTTTATTTTTTATGGCCAAGTAATATTCCATTCTATATATGTATCACAGTTTTTATCCACTTATCTGTCAATGGGCCCTTGGGTTGCTTCCATATCTTGGCTGTTGCAAATATTGTTGCAATGAAAATAGTGGTGCATATATTCTTTCAAATTAGTGTTTTGGGTTTCTTTGGATATATACTCAGAGTGGAATCACTGGGTCATAAGGCAGTTCCATCTTTCATATTTTTTGAAGAACCTTCATACTGTTTTCCATCGTGGCTGTATGAATCTACAATCCCACCATTGATGCACAAGAGTTCCCTTTTCTCCACACCCTAGCTAACACTTGTTTGTTGATTTATTGATGATAGCCATTCTGACAGATGTGAGGTGATATCTCATTGTGGTTTTATCTCATTTGGATTTCTGTGATGATTAGTGACGTTGAGTATCTTTTCATGACTAGTGGTCATCTGTGTGTCCTCTTTGGAGAAGTGTCTATTCAGGTCCTCTGCCTACTTTTAGATTAGATTTCTTTGTGTGTGCATGTGTGTGTGTTGAATAGTTTGAGTGTTTTATAAATATTGGATATTAACCCCTTATTAGCTGTATCATTGGTGAATATTTTCTCCCATAGTTTGTCTTTTCATTTTCTTGAGGATTTCCTTTGCTGTGCATAAACTTTTTAGTTTGATGTAGTCTCATTTCTTTAATGTTTTTCTCATGTTTCTTTTGTCCAAGGAGATATATCAGAAAAAATATTCCTAAGAGAAATGTCAGAGACTTTACTGCCTGTATTTTCTTCTAGGATTTTTATGGTTTTGAGTTTTACTTTAGTCTTTAATCCATTTTGGTTTTATGCTTGTGTGTAGTGTGAGAAGGTGGTCTAGTTTCATTTTTTTCCCCATGTATCCAATTTTCCTAACACCATTTATTGAATAGACTGCTTTTACCCCATTGTATGTTCAATTGATCACATAGACGTGGGTTTATTTTTTGGCTCTCTATTCTGTTCCATTGATCTATATGTCTGTTTTTATTCCAGTACTATGCTGTTTTGATTACTATAGCTTTGTAGTGTAGTTTGATACCAGCTAGGGTGATACCTCCAAATTTGTTCTTCTTTCTCAAGATTGTTGTGGCTTTTTGGTCCTTTATGGTTCCATATGAAGTTTGCGATTATTTGTTCTAGTTCTGTGAAAAATGGCATTGGTATTTTGATAAGATTTTGTTGAATCTATAGATTGGTTTGGGTAGTATGGACATTTTAACAATGCTAATTCTTCCTGTCCATGAGCACAGTATATACTTTCAGTTATTTGTATCTTCTTCAAATTCTTTCTTCAGTGTCATACATTTTTGAGTATAGATCTTTTACAACCTTGCTTAGATTTCTAGGTTTGTTTTTTTAATCCAATTATAAATGGGATTGTTCTCTTAGTTTCAGTTCCTGATAATTCATTATGGGTGTATAAAAATGTAACCAATTTCTGAATATTTATTTTGTAACTTGCTACTGTACTGAATTCGTTTATCAGTTTTAGTAAAGTTTTGGTGGAATCTTCAGGGTGCTCTATATGTAGTATCATGCCATCTGCAAAGAATGACAGTTTTACTCCTTTTTTTCCAATTTGGATGCATTTTATTTCTTCTTCATGTCTGATTGTTGTGGCTAGGACTTCCAATACTGTGTTGAATAAGAATGGTGAAAGTGGACATTTCTGTTTTGTTATCGATGTAAGGAAAACACTTTTAGCTTCTATTTATCAAGTATAATTTTAGTCATGGGTTTGTCATACATGGCCTTTATTATGTTGTACATTCCCTCTATTCCAACTTTGTTATAAGTTTTTAAAAAAAATCATAAATGGGTGTCAGATGCTTTTTCTGTATCAATTAATATGATCATATGATTTTTTTATCCTTTATTTTGTTCAATTTGACCATCCATTCATGTGGAAAAGTCTCTGTTAACAGCTTGGGTGGGCCTGTAATTTGGGTTGGATGGAGTCTCAGGAGATCTCCATGGTGGGGTAAACCATGTTAGCCAGGTTTATGGAGTTTCAGATATAGCACCCACCTGCTGGCTCTTTGACTCTGTGTGGAGGATGGTTCAGAAAGGATACTATGGCCTCTGCCCACCTCTCTGCCTGGGGGAAAGCTGTCCCCCAGCTCTCACTTTGATGCGAGACACTTCAATTCCTCCCCATATGCCACTTGTGCCTTTCAAGCTGCTACCCCAGTTCTAGAGCTCAGAGGGAGTGAGTCTGAGTAAGTCCATGTGTGGATTCTTCAAGCGGAACTGATTGGAACTCCAGAAGTTTCTTCCACCACTCATTCTTCACTGGTTATTGCAGCCAGAAGTTTTGAGGACTTTTCTTCCTGGTACTGGAACCCTGTGCTGGGGGACCTGGTGTGGGACTCTGACTTTTGACTCCTGAGATATCCCTTCCAAATTTTTATCTACCAGGTGTGTCCTCCCCTCCCTCCAGTCAGGATGGATGTGGTTTCTTCAATTCTGCAGCTGTCAGACTTCCATTCATCTCTACCTCTGATGGCTCCAAGTGATGGTTGTTCTACAGTTTAGTTGCAATTTTGATGTGGCTGTGCAAGGAACCGAGCCTTGTTTACCTATACCTTCATCTTTCCAATGATTTTTTTTATTCTGATCTTTTCAGCTCTAAGTTCCTATTTCCTATTTTCTATGGAAGAGTCCAAACTCTTACATGATACACACACCGTCCCTCCTTTGTGAGGGATCTTTCTTGTGCCTACTGTAATCTGTGTATAACTTCATTATTGTATAGACTTTAAATAGAAATCCTCCTTTCCCATGCTGTCAGAATTGCGACTGGAACAGTTAATTGAAGAAGTTGATTAAAGGTAAAGTTAAAACATAATACATGCCAAAAAAAGAGGTTATGGATAAGCAAGGAGTTTGATATAAAGGCAAATGGTGAAGAATATTTAAGTTACTTTCTGCTTAAGGTTTATAAATTACAGAAAAGTAGAATCTATAAACCTCTGTAAAGACTCACATATGCCAATAATGTTTGATTTTTCTTTATCCTAATGATTCTTTTATTAAATTAAAAAGAATATTCTTTTATGTTAAAAAAGTCATGCATACTTGAAACATTTTATTTCAACTCAAAACATAGAAATACATTTATTTGCCAATTTTTTCATGTATAACCAAGACATTTTTTTTAAAGTGTGGGTACTTAATTGGAATTTACTTGTTTATTCTTGATTAAACTGAACCTAGAATGTGTCCTCTAGGTATTTTGTTTAAATGAAAGAGCTTAAGCCACATGTACAGCAGTCCGAGTGCAGAATTCTGGGTTTGTATGATTTCCTAGCACCACCAATTTTCTGTTGCTTTGTCCATATCTTCTTCAATAATAGTATGTTTTCCAATGGAAACTTACTTTCGTAAAGTAATACCAAGGCATTAAATCTTAGAAATAACTTAGTTGTCTGTGTTTTTAAATTACATCTTATTGGTTTGGTTAGTGTAGCATTTCATTAAAGTATACTTATATTATAATACAAGAATGTGGTTTGTGAACGTACCCTCAACGGAGGGGCGTAGAGGTTGCTTCCTGATCAGAATACTATAGATATTAGTTATTTTACAGAGGGAATGGACATTGTATTGATTAATATGGCAAAGTCGGTTGAATGGAGGTTGATTAAGAGAGTTTATACTGTAATTATTATTGTTATTATTTTTGCTTCTCTCCCTTATTACAGTGTGAATTCTTATAAGGCAAGGGCTATATTTATTTTTCATTTTCATATATGTAACCTTTACCTATGCACAGTGACTACCACTTAGTAGATACTGTTTTTGTTGGGTGAATGAACAAATACTTATGTAGATCATACTACATTTGAATAACCAGAAAGGACAGTGGGCTGGGAATCAGCTAGTATAGACAGATCATTGACCCTGGAGCCAAACTGAGGTTTGTATCCTTTCTCATTTACATTCTTGAGCAGTTTACATTGACTTTTTCACTTTAAAATATTTTATTTATTTATTTTTAGAGAGACAGGAAAGGAGGGAGACAGAGAGGGAGAGAAACATCAATGTTTGAGAAACATCAGTCAGTTGCCTTTTGTGTGCCCCCAACTGGGCACCTGGCCTGCAACCTGGGCCTGTACTCTGACTGGGAATTGAACTGCAGCCTTTTGGTTTGCAGCACAATGTCCAACCCACTGAGCCACACCAGTCAGGGAGCCTTTTTCATTTGGCAAAGGAGGATAACAACAACTTCTGGACTGTGTGAGGGTAAAATGGGAACGTGCAGTACCTAGTACAGTGCTTGACAAAGTAAGCAGTCAACAAGTACCACACTGTCCTGAAGATGCCTGTTCCTAAGGAGAACGAGGGAATTCACTTGGTCAATCTTTTCTCATTAAGAAACTTGAACTACATACTCTATGAGTTTTCCTCCAGCTCTAAAATTCTCTTTTAATAAGCAATGTTTTATGTTTTGGACAGATTTACATAACAAATATTTGGGTATTTCTTGATTTGTTACATTTTTAGACACAATTTATAAAGTAGGACCTTGAAGAACAAATATTTTCAGACTTTAGAGCATCATCTGTTAGTGAGTTAATTCTCTAATAAAATGTAAAGAACAGCTCAGCTTTGCCTGTCACTGTCACACCTAGGAGCTGAAGTAGGAGCTGAAGTAGGGGGTAGAAAAGGAGGTCCTGAGGAGGCTGGAAGTATTAGCTTAGAAGAAGTGAGGTAAAAGTAAGCTCTTGAAACTAATTTCATGGACTTGTTTTTCTGGATTAAAAAGTGGAGATAGGATGAGAAAGATGGAAACAAAATACAATTTTTGGAATGACTCTGAGGTTGTTTTCCATTTACATCTCAATTTTGGTTTGTTGACATAAATAAGTGAACTAGCAGCCTTCCTTTCAGTATTCATTCTACAGCCGATGCTAATACTTAGTTTTTATGTTGCAGTTACTGCAGTTTTCATATAGTATGGAAGAAGAGGAGTTTTTTGGAGAAAAAACATTCCAGCATTATTGTAAAGAATTTATCAAACATTCACAGCAGATAGGTGATGGCTGGGAATGGAGAACTTCAAAGGTAAGAGTAGAAAGTTTTATTTCCTATTTTGGTGGAGTTTTCTTTTTCTTTCTCTTTTTCTGTCATGTAAACCCTTAGTAATTGAAACTAATGTATGAAAGCTAGCTTGATTTAGTAAAAGGCTTAAATTGGGGAATGTTTTAAAACAGATGTTCATTTTATTACTTCAACTATATGTACTCATTATAATTAGGCTAATGAAGTATTATCTAGAAAAGTCTTTAGGTGACCTGCTTTAATTTAATAGATAAGGATGCTTAGCATATTAATTACCTGAGTATAAATAGATGCTTCTGTGGTGCCTCCAACTATTTGTTTACACTATTCATTTTCCTAGGAAACTGTCTTCATCCAGAGAGTGAAAAGATAATCCTGAAATCAAACCACAGTCAAACAATCACAAATTCTGAAATACCGAGGACTGTGTTAATTGAGAATTTTTTAATAGTGTAAACACGTTTCAAAACATTCTTTTGATTTTATTTAGTAACAGTAATGAAAAAGTCTATGTACTCATTTATTTTTCACACATATATTTAGTAAGGTTCTTTGCTAAAAGCTTTTAAAGAATTCCTTGAAATCCCTTCTTCAGAGAGTAAATTTTCTCTACTTGACATCTTATCTGATTCTCAAAAAAGTGATGAATCTTGAGTCTCTGCTGATTGACTCTGTTTCCCATATGTACTCTGAGAGACAGGAACAGTTTTGAGCTGATTCCTATTATTCAGAACTAGGCCAGGGAGATGTAGGTCTTGATCAGATCTCGAGTGTCACTGGTGACAGAAGCCGTAATTTCTCATTGGGTCGTATGTTGTCTAGTCTTTGACAGGGTGACTCATGGGATGGTTCAGGGGTTGGTAGATTCCAGCCCCACTCGCTCTATGACTGGGCAGCCCATAAGCCCCTAGGGCATCTCCTGCTCCAGGGTAACATGACCTTACTGGCACCTTTTATTAATTTTTGTTTCTGAGAATTTTATAATCTTGTTTGCTATGATGTTTGAATTTTTGTTCATATTATTTCATCTATGATTATTATGTGCCAACATATAAAAGAAGTGCTAATTTTTGTATATTAATGTGGTAACTATTCAATCACTAATTTATCCTTTTAGTTTTCATAAATTTTCAGTGATTTCCCTGTAATCTTCTAGGTAGAGTGAGGTCATCTGGCAGTAAAGAATTTTTTTGTTGCCTTATTTGTAATATTTTTCTCTATTATTTTATGAATGGTTTGAGAAACGATACATAATGGTGATACAAGTTCTCTTTGTCTTTCTCTTTATCTTAATATTAATACTTCTGATATATAATAATTAAATAAAATAATTGATTGTTAGCGGTTTATTTATTGAATGAGTAAAGGTTTCTGCCACCTTTTGACCTGTAATAATTTGTGTGGTTACTTCTAGGGAACTTTCCCTTTTGCCAGGTTTTGTTAAAAAAAGAATTTATCTTTTATCTTAAGCTTGAGGGAGAATGATATAGATTCCTGTTACCATTTCTGTGACCCAGCAGAGTGGAAGGGGAGAAGGTTAGGGAGGGAACTTGGAGTGGACTACGTGAGCGCGTGCATGTGTGTGTGTTGTAGGGGTGGTGGGGCACTGGGGATGATCTCCAGGAGGGAATTACATCTGTTAGAAGTTTCTTCACTAAATTCGTTGAAACTAGTTCCAGGATTTGTTTATATTCTTGTTCTGGCCTGGGCTGCAGGTATGGGTATGGCTAACTCTAACTTCTTGTTTGCTGCCACTGTCTGCTGGGTTAAGAAAGTTTCCTACCCTTTGGAGTGAGAATTGCACCTTTAATTAAGGATAGTTCTTTTTAATGTGGGGGTGAGTCCAAAGATAGTATCAAAACAAAACAAAGCAAAACCAAACACTGTTGAGAGAAAATCTCTGTCGCCTGAGGGCAAGGCCTGCAAACTCACAGCTCTGCAGAGACCAGGCCTGGTCATGTAAATGGGCAGAGCTGCCAGAAACACAGCAGCCTGTGGTCGCAGCTGACCACAGTGGTAGGCCTGCTGTCAGGTTGGAAACATGGGCCCAAGGGTTACCAGATCTTTCAAGGAAAGCCAAAAGGATTTTGGGAGAGAAATATCTAAAATTTTAAATGTTGGCAAGTAACAGATGTTTTTTAAACATGGCGAGGAACAAAGCCAACATGCCAGTGGTGCATAACAAAGGGGGCATGCGTCCCCCTGATGACTTACGGAACTGGGCGTCTCCCTTGCAGGACTGTAGTTTCTCACCGGGCCCTGCCTCAGTGCATGCTGTTGACCTCAGTTAGAAAAAGGGGCTCCAGGCAAACAGATTCCTCCTTTCTAGATGTTGGGGTGTTAGTATTTTTGCTAAGTAGTTTCAGCAGTCCCATATCCTTTGTATGAAGGAAATTGTGCATCAGTTACTTGGTTGTTTCCCCCAAACCTTCCATTTGTATTAACATGTCAGTCTTTTTGTAGGACTGTTTGGAGACAATACTTAAACCACTGTTTTATTTTTTAGGCTCTAGAAATTTATTTTTATTAAAAAATAGCTGTATTGAAGTACAATTGACAACTGCTCATATTTAAAGTGTACAGCTGGTAATTTTTGACATTCGTATGGACCTGTGAGCCTTCAACATAATCAAGAAAGTGAACATATCCATCACCCTCAAAAGGTTCCTTATACATTTTTAAAATACCTCCCTCTGTGCCTTCCTGTCCCTGAAAGTTAGTTTTGAAAAGAATCTTGTTTATCCTGACAGATAGAGGCTCCAACATATTGTCAATTATACCTTCAGGTTTGTTCATAAATCACTCTAGCAACATCTATTTAATTTTTTAATTTTGAAGAATCACTAAAATATTTAGAGAATTGGTATAGTTCAACTTTATAGATAAGTTAAAACATCATTTTTTTTCCTGCAAAGTTGATAAGAAAAGCAATGTGAATTAATGGAGATGTAACAATTTAAAAAATTTTAAAAGAGCCTTTGCTGGTGTGGCTCAGTTGGTTGGAGTGTTGTCCTATACACTAAAGGTTGGGGGTTCGATTCCCAGTCAGGGCACATGACCTAGGTTGTGGGTTTGATCCTTGGTTGGGGTGTGTATGGGAGGTAACCAATTGATGTTTCTCTCTCACATCTATGTCTCTCTCTCTCTTTCCCTTCCTTTCTCTCTAAAACCAATAAACATATTAAATTTCTTTAATTTTAAAAGGAAACTTTCTAAAAGTAGTCAAAAACAGTTCTGATTTTTATATCTGGAGGTATGCAGAACAGGGAGAATACTTCTAAATCATTATTTTTCAGTGGGGCTGGATGCTGTTGGCATCTGGGCAGAACAATTCTTCTTGTTCCCCTACCCCGAACATTTCTAAATCTTTCAGGGAGGAGGTATGCTCTCACTGAGAACTATTGTTTAACATGGTGGTCTGTGGGAAATTAATGATTGTGGTTAGGAGCATGGGCTTCAGAGTTAGGAAGATCTGGATACAAATCCCTGCTCTACCTGTCTCACCTTGGTCTACACTACAGGGGCTGCCCTATGTTTTCTGCAAAAGGTCAGATAGTAAATATTCTGTGCTTTGTGGGCCATCCAGTAGTTCTGCCTTTGTAGAATGAAAGGCTGTAGACAATACATAAATATATGAGCATGACTATGTTCCGGTAAAACTTTGTTTACGCACCTTGAAATTTGAATTCATGTCATTGTCAAGTATCACAAAATAATTATTCTTTGTGATATTTTAAATTATTGAAAAAATGTAATAACCTCTCTTAGTTCACAGCCTGTACAAAACCAGCACTGGGCAGGATGTGGCTCATGGGCTGCAGCTTGCTGACTGGTGCTCTGGGGCTTGCTTCCAAACTTGTAAGGAACAAGCTAGGATAAAGTAAGGAGAGGGAATACATTGAGCAACAAAACCAAAATAAAAAATTTGTGATAAATTGAAACTCAAGTTAAAAAATACTAGGATGACACTGAACAAAGGTAACCTAGCCCTAATCTCATCCAACTGGACATTTTACTTTGGAAATAGTACTAGAAACTATAGATCATATAAATAAAAATCTAAAGCCTCTTTAGATATAACATGGACTGCACATTAAGATAATAGATAAAACAATGAAAACATAACAATATTTATTGAGAAAAAGTACAGAGCAGTGGTTTGAGTATAGGCTCAGGAGCTGGGTTTGAATCTCAACTTCTTTAAGTACCAACCGAATAGCTTTGGACAAGCTGCTGACCTTTGTGCCTCAGTTTTCTTATAAAATATCTACTTTTTAGGTTGGTTGTGAGGATTAAATGAGTTACTACATACAAGGTGCCTAGAAACAAAGTGCTCTGACAGTCAAAAATAATAGCTATTACTGTGCACATTATTAAGCCAAGCATCTATGCCCTAATTATATACATACAGAGAAAGGAAGCACAAAGGTATTTGAGCCAAACTCATTGGATATGGGGTCTTAATGGGAAACATTTGTGTTTTAAAAATAAATTTGAGAGAATTGTTGATTTATATACAGTGGTAAGAAATAACAGAGATATTCTATACTGCATCTAGTTTCCTTCAGTGACAACCTCTTGCATAACTGCAGTATGATAATATAATCAGGAAATTGGCACAATACACAGTTTATTTAGATTTCATCAGTTCTGTGTGCACTCAATTGTGTGTGTATGTATTCAGTTTTTTGTTAAGTTTATTCTCTAGCAAGAGCAATCAGATAGAAAATTAGGTCATTAATTTAATAATTTCAATAATGTTGAAAAAGATAGTTGCACAAATTCTTGTAGATCACACACTTGAATATTACTTCCAAGGTTTTCAAAGTAAGAATGTTTCTCTGTTGGAAACTCAGCCCATCTGGATTTGATCTGGCTTCTTCTTTCCATTTCCCTTGACCACCCCTTACTCCCAGAGGCTTTCCTCTGAAGAACTGAGACATATGAATAAAGAGATTGAAAATAAAACTTTTCTTCAAGTTTCACACCAGACTATTGAAACA